AAAATTCAGATTAAAAAAATTAGAATTAAAGCTAGCCTGAGCTACAAATTAAGACTGTCAGAAAAAAAGCACAGATCTGGCAATGAACATCTAAGTCACGACTGAAGTGCTAAAACCCTGTGACAAGAGAAGGGTCCCCAGACCTGTATGCTCTCAGAGTCGATGGAGGGTTCCAGCCCAGAGTTTCCAAGGCAATCTTCAGAATCTGTGTTTCTAACAGTCCCTGATAGCATTGCCAGCCAGGGGACTATAGTTGGAAAAGTCTCTGAACCAGACAGCATCATTAATACAAAATGAAGATAGAGAATTGATGATGACCATGAACAGTTTTGCGAATATATACACTTACATAGCAGGCAGAAAGCAGGAGACACAAGAGAGAGCTTTCCCAGGATGAAATGAGAATCGGGAAAGTAGGAAAAGAGTGATCAAACAGCTGAGGATGGAGACTGAAAACAAGCAATGGGCAAGGAAATCAGGCCAGTGAGGGAAAGGTGGTGAGTATCAAAGACTTAGCACACCTGTAGGAAAACAACACAAGAGAGGGCGGCACAGGGAATAAGAGAAACACTGGAGAAACTGATGGAGACCGAGCAAGGTCCTGCGGAGCTGATGGAGTGGCACCCAGGCAGCCAGTAGGTAAAGAAAAGTCAGGTTTTTCTCTGACACAGGTGAAAGAACTTCAAACAGGCACCGTTAAAGATGAAAACGGAAGAGAGATACACCGGTGAGACTGTGCCTGAAACCTGTGTGTTCTCTTCCGGTTTGCCCTGTGGGAAACACTGACAGGACTTCTTCAAGCATATGGAGAAGACAGGACAGTCAGATGGAAGTGGGCATGGGTACAAAGGGAAGGCTAGAAATGCCAGTCTGTGTTAGAGAATACAGAAAATACCATTTTACTATGCTTAATGTTTAAAATAACTATCTAAGTCATAAATAATAATGTACTATAGGGTTTAAAACAAACAAAAGTATGACAGAAGACAAAGGGTTTACTGATCCCATATACAAAATGGTATATTATTATTTGAAAATAGGTTGTGGGGTGCCCCAAAACAATACACGTTATTGCTAGTTTTCTTGATTACCTATTAGAACTTAATATTAAGACCTTCTTGCTGAAGATACCATATGCACTGTTGGCAGAACTTGGAGAAATCAAGAATCTTTCTTGCTGCAGGCTAGTTTCATAATACTGGAAGGTGTTATATGGGCTGCTTGACTGGGAGACGTCATCAACAATCTTACCCAACTGTGAATTTTGTGAACTGGCATAAGCACAATATGCCCACAGGTGCAAAAGTGGCATAGATGCCATGAGGGTAACCAATCACCTTCTGATTGGATTTAAGACCCAGTTCACAGGAAGAAACACATGTCTGGTACTATAAAGCTCGGCAAGAATCCATGTCTGGGGAGTTTACAGGCCCCAAGAGTGAACCTATCTCTCTATGATGCTAAAAGGACACAGTATTGCACAGCCCTCTCATTACGTTTGTATCTCTCCACTCATAGATGATTAGGACCTCAGGACATGGTCAGCAGTTAATGCAGAAACTCACAACTAGTCAAAGTACAGAGGATAAATGTCAGTGGAATACTCAGCCACAAGTGGGACATCCATATCACACCCTTTCCCCAAGGCTTAGGGACCGCTTTAGAAGAGTGAGCAGGAAGAATCCAGGATTCCAAGATCCAGGGGATCAGGCCAAAACAATGTCTTCTGACCTGGCAGACTGCTGCACTCATGAACTCACAGTAGCTGTGGCTGTCTGAATAAGATCTACACAACCCAGTCAACATTCTTGCATAGAGTGGGAGGGGGTTCATGAGCCTACCCCTAACTGAGGAGTTATGGACAGTAACAATGTCTGGAGTAGGTAAAGTCAGTTTTTCTTAAGGGTGTGTGTAATTTTTTTAAAAGAAAATGCCCCCCAAAGGGGGTAGCTCTCTTAGGAGTTGTGTCTTTGTTAGAGTAGGTATGGCCTTGTTGGATGAAGTGTGTTCACTGTGGAGGTAGGATGTGAAGTCACATATATGCTCAAGCTATGCCCAGTGAGACAGACCACTTCCTGTTGCCTAGAAGTCAAGATGTAAGAATCTCAGCTCTGTCTCTAGCACCGTGTCTGCCTGCACGCCACCATGTTTCACCATAATGATTATGGACTAAACCTCTGAAAACGTAAACCACCTCAATTAAATGTTTTTCCTTAATAAGAGTTGCCATGGTCATGGTGTCTCTTCACAGCAACAGAAACTAAGACAGTTTGGTTCCTGGTAAACTGACAATGTTCCAATGGATAACCATACCCTAACACAAACTAGAAATGACAGGTTGTTAAAGAGAAAAAACAAAGAGGACAGGAAGGTTAGAGGCTAGGAACGCAGAGGGGATGTGGAGTAGTTAGGGAGAGAGTGGGAATTGGATATGATCAAAATTATGTGACAGCCTCAAAGAATTAATAAAATATTTACGAAGAAAATAATACTGTGGGCTGAGGCGAAATCTCGTGTGACAGCACATGACCTGGGCTCATCCCCTGGTTCCACTAATAAATAAGTAAATAAACAACATGGAACCTCTAATTCAGTGGTTCATCAAGCATGGCCTCGGGTAGAAAGGTGAGATCCAGACATTCCAATAGTTCCAACAGAAGGTATTATCACAGTAATGGTTTAAGATATCCTGTAGTCAAGAATTCTGATAACGTAATGTTTACTGAATTTAACTGACCACAGAACTCACTTCTCAAATAGTACTTACTAATATTTTACAGAGCAAGTGTGACCAATCATTTTAGAAAACGTTATTTGTTCTGAGGCATGTAAACATTTAATGACATCTGTGTCACACCAACAAATACAAGCTTTACTTTAAACACAGGGATATATGTATCAGCTAAATTAGTAGCTGTATATTTTGAGAGGAAAAAATTACATATTTGGGAACTGAGCAGATCTGGCTTTGAAGTTTGACTCACCATCATTCACGAGGTATTCCATCTTGGACTAGTTACTCACATAAGGATTAAAGCATATATAACATGAATGAAAGACTTGTGGTTACTTGACGCTTACATAGATACATAATAAATATTATTATGGGAAGGGGAGGAGAAATAGCACATCCCTTGCATATTTAGAAATTATTCAGTGGTTAAGAGTATTTTGCAGGAAACCAGTTCCAATTTCCAGCATCCACATGGTGGTTTGCAACCATCTGTAACTCTAGTTCTGAGATTCACCGACCTTTTCTGATCTCTGTGGGCACCAAGTACACACGCAGCACACAGACATACATGTGGGCAAAACACACACATAAAAATGGAAAAAAAACTAATAAAATTGTTTTAAATGCAATTCAATTCTAAAAACTATCTATTTGAGAATATGGAATCTTTGGTACCATTCTTCTACAGGGCTGAATTTAACATAAAACAAGCTCATTGTGATATCCAACTAAAAGGTTTGCCTATAGACATACAGAAAGGGATTTAACAGCATGACGTCACAGAACAGACCTCCAAAGAGAGCCTGTCAGCACTCTAACTCGGTTCCCTGTATAAGATGAAGCAACTGAGTCACAAAAGTCTTGCCAGTAAAGGTTAATTTCCATTTACGTTCCCTGTAATGTCTTGTAATACAGGTCACTCCAATAACCCTGTAAGCTGAAGACTGAGAGAGCAGGAACAGGAAAGGCAGGGCTGCTCTGGTAGTGAGGGTGAGAATCTCCGTCAGGACACTGCACGAATCTAGAAAGCCTGGCGATAGTTGGGCACCTGGGATGGGATCCCTGAGTCCAACAGGATCAAGAGTTCTGAAAGACACTGGGATTCAGGTTTGCTGTGGCACACAGGAAATAATTCAGGAAAGTTACTTCATTATTCCGACAGATGGTCTCAGTGTGACAACTCAGACTGCAGTGAAGAGACATGCCATTGTATACACAAACCAACAAGCCAGGCATGTGAGGGGGCAACGGACAAGGTTTGATAAAGTTCTAGTCAAAGAGGAGAACCAGGAAGAATCAGATGGTTCCATGATTTTAAGGATGGCTGACAGAAGGGGAATGGTGGCATCAGACAGCTGGGAGAGAGATTTGTAAGGGAAATGTCTCTGACATTATAAAAGTAGACAAAAATTACAATGTTGGGTAGAAATTTTAGATCTAAAATTGGACTTCTGCATAACATGTCATTGTATACGTTTTATGTGTAGTTAATTCGGTGTGTGTGTGTGTGTGTGTGTGTGTGTGTGTGTGTGTGTGTGTGTGTGTGTGTGTGGTTTTTCCAAGACAGGCTTTTTCTGTAACAGTACTGACTGTCCTGTAATTCACTCTGTACACCAGGCTGGCCTTAAACTCAGAGATCTGCCTGCCTCTGCTTCCTGAGCACTTGGATCAAAAGCATACACCACCATGCCCAGGCACAGAAAGTTAATTCTTAGAAAAAAAGGAAAAGGATATATTCTAATTGCATGCCAAGGTAGAATTACTTTTTAATTATGTCAATCTAAGCTATACTAAAGTCCAACTTAATGAACATCCAGAGATGGATTAAATTGTCTTGTTAAGTGTAATTCAAACAAAATAATACTATTTTAACATAGTTTAATGTATGTATTATACAATGTAAGGATTATAATTTTCATTTTATAGGCAAGAAAATTTTGAGGCAGGATTTTCAGGTGTCAGTAGAGCAACAGATCTTAGAGAATGGAGTGAATTTAAGCCAAATCTGGCTAATTCTGCTTCTTCTAAGATAATCAACAAAAGCAAATATAAGAACAGCAGGTGAGCCAAAAAGGAAAACGACAAGTCAGAGGTGAGATGCTGTATTTTGTGTCACATGAGCTCTAAAAGTCATGTGTGCCTGCCTAAACCAACATGTAACAAAAATGACTGAGGAATAGCTCTTTTCCAAAAAGTGTTGTATGTACTGAGACCAGGGGGGTACCTGAGAATGATGTCATCATGAAGCAGTACCTTCAAGTCTTACCATTGATAACTGGCGTGTAAACCACAATCCCAACCAAGTTTGGGTCAGATACAGTTGTGTCCAGAATAAGGCCCCCAATGCTGAAAGAAAGAAAACCACATATTAGGAAAGAAGAAAGGAAGAGAATCTCACGTTGTTCTGACATTCAGACACCCCCACCTTGTATAATACAATGTTTATGCAACATAAAAATGAGGCAAAAAGAAGAGTGTCAAAGTAGAAATCAATGTTAACTGTAACAAGTTGGAAATAAAATTGTGAAGGGGCGGGAGAGGCGTTCTGTGGGTGAGGAGCTGGCTATGATGGTGCAGGAGAGGCGTTCCGTGGGTGAGGAGCAGGCTATGTAAGCACAAAGCCTTGAGTTTAAAGGCCAACACCCACTAAAGGTCCAGGTGTCAGAAGGGGAGCCTGTGATCTCTGCAGCGGGAGGTGAACACAGAAGGAACTCGGGGCTGGCTCACCAGCCAATCAGTGATCTCCAGGTTCAGTGAGTGCCCATCTCAAAAACTAAGAAAACAAAAAGGGTGCAATAGAAGAAGACACTCTGAACACGGTGTTGGCCTCTGGCCTCCACAGGTGCATACCTGGACACATACCTGCATACATGCAGACTACACACACTAAATAATAAATACCATAACCATCAGGCAAAATGTGTTTGTACATTAGTTTTTGTTTGTTTGTTTGTTTTATTTATCTGTCCTCTCCCTTTGGGGAACAAGGTCTTGCTATATATATAGCCCAAGATGGCCCTGAACTTATAGCAATCCCCCTGCCTCATCTTACCAAGTGCTGAGATTATAGGTGTGTGTCATAATTTCCGATTATACATATGGTAACTGCACTAAGCCATCAATAAGGACCTATAAGGCACCGTTAACAACTTCAAGGCCTTAAACAATGGGACTAACGGTCCCTTCGTATTCTTCTGCACATAGGATTTCTCATTTTGTTTTGTTTGAGACTGGGTCTCACTATAAAGCCTGGACCACACCAGCCTCAGCCTCCTAGAAATTCACCTGCAAAGCAGCGTCTTTTCATCTTCCCAGCAAGCAGGCAGTAAAGGGCTGGTTTCTACTGTGCTAAAACTAAATGGATCACAACTGTATTACCACAGAGAGCTGTAGCAGCCGAAAGAGCTGGGCTTGAGAAGTCTGGGAAGGAAGACGACTATTTTAATACAACACAGTGGCAAGCCAAACGCTTTCAGTATCTCAATGGAACCTGGAGGCTTGTTTAGGCCTTCATTAACTGATTACCTTCAGTCTGTGGTTTATTTACTATAAGACACTGCCAGTCCCAACACCCATAGATACCTGTTGCCTCAATCTTCTAGGAAATGCAATCTACCGTAGGCCCGTTCCCAGATCCTCTTTGCACTAGGAGTTACTTTCCACGGTAGCCTCTATGCTGCCAAGTAGCATGCAAAAATGCTATTTCTCATTTTTAGTTTTAGCCTGTATTTAGTGACTTGCATGGTAGGTGAGCATGCATCATCTCAGAGCTCCCATGAATGCCCTCTCTATGGTGAGCCCTTCTCGATACATCTAGTCACAAAATAATGATCAATTCTCTAATTCTTAGAGATATCTTTCCTTATGCTCACTATCCTCCTACACTCCAGAGAGCTGGTCTCGGGAACAGAGGCAAAGCTGTCATCCTCTACCTCCTCTTCAGGGCTTTCCATGCTGATTTTGATCTTCGTATTATAAATCCAAAAAGCACACAAGACTCATAGTTTACCACATTTTACAGGACATCCCTACTCTGTCCCAGATTACCCTTTTCATCAAATGTGGAAGGTACAAACATCTTTCTATTGCAACAGAAATGCAACAGTGTTATTCTGGGTTGCTAATATTCCATTTTGCAACCCTGTTAGGATTCATCTAACTGATGGCCAACCGCTAGTCCAAGAAACTTGTTTAGTACATATATACCTACACAGAACATGCTTGTTCTCCCTCGCCTAGCCCGACACTCACCTGCTGATGACCATGGCTGTTATGACGGGCTCCCAGCCTGAGTAGAGTACTGTCCTGGTAGCAGGATGTTTGGCAGCTATTATAATCCAAATAGGTGTCAGAGCCAAGAAAAAGGTACACACTAACGGAGAAATGTAGTAATATGTCTCTAGAATAAAGAAAAAGAGACATTTCAACCCTTTTTTCCAACAGAAAATATAAGCCAGAAAAAGAAACATTTTTACCAGATTTATTATCAAGTATTAGGTGTCGTGCCACCACCAAGTGTCTATATACCCAAAATTTAGAACTGTAAATAAAATTCAAAGCCAAGTAACTGTAAAATTTAGAACTGTAAATAAAATTCAAAGCCCCTAACCCAGCAATCAGGAGGCTGGAGCTTGGAAACCACAAGTTTAAGTCCAGCCTGTGCTACACAGATGGTCTTTTAAAGTATCAATTAATGCAACCAAAGAAAAACATTACTTTCCCAAACACTTATTTTGAGACAACAATTACAGCCCACACAAGAAAAGCAAGGACACCATGAAGGGCACCAAGCAGCGGCGGAGTCACCCTGGACAATTGCCCAGACCTCGCTGTACCTCTTTGCAGCACATGTCTGCGGCACGACTGTTTAGTCTGGTGTGTGTGTGTGTGTGTGTGTGTGTGTGTGTGTGTGTGTGTGTGTGTGTGTGTGTGTGCGTGTGTGCGTGTGTGCGTGCGCGCGCGCCTGGGGAACATGAATTCACACGACAGAGCAGGAGAGGAGACTCGCAGAGGAAGAGCTTGGGAAGTGAATGGCAAGCTTGTGTGCGGAGTGAACTTCGTTCGCACATGCGCACACAAGGTGACCTGCGTCCTCAACAGCCCTCGGAAGCCTGCGGACACCGAATTGGGAACATCCAACAGCAGAGGAGCGGTGCCTTGAGCAGACAGCAATCAGAGGACACCTGAGAAAGGCCCATCTGAGTAGAGGACACAGGCCTTGGGGCGAGGTCTGCTCCACATTTCCCCAATGTAACTTCGAAGCAGAGCTTAGTTAACCGCCCACAAAATAGTCCAACGCTGTGCACGGAAACAGAACAACGGGACCCTGAGCAGCCTGTGCTCACGGTGCCAGCAGCCAACCACGCTTGGAATATTCGACTGCATGAAAATCACTGATATAGCTTACTTACATCACTTTTCTCATGATTTTTTTCCAAGTACCTAAAGTGGTTTTTACAAGCCTAGCCAATTAAATATATAATTAAGGTGACTTGCTTGGTGTGGTGGCGCACACACAATCACAAGTTCAAGGCCAGCCTAGGCCACAAAAGGACAACACAAAAGAAAGCGTACAGTAGGCCGGCAAGAAGGCCAAGAAGGCAAGGCCGACACCCGAATGTGATCCTGAACTAACTGGCAGGAGAGAATGGACTCCTGAAAACTACCCAATGATTTCCATATAAGGTGTGGCACACACACACACTTACACACACACACTCCCTGATCCCCCCCCCAAGCTTTAAAAAGGAAAAAAAAAAAAAGGGCTGGAGAGATGACTCAGTGGATAAGAGCATTGGCTGCTCTTCCAGAGGGCCGAGGTTCAATCCCCAACAACCACCTGGCAGCTCACAACCATCTGAAACTCCAGTTCCAGGGGATCCCATTCCCTCTTCCAGCCTCCATGGGCACTTCACACACTGCGTCCTCGGTCCTCCAGCTTTAATGACTTATCACCAGGGTTCTCAGGTGTATGGTAATCTTTAAAGTCATATTCTGGTGCTAATTTTAGCATTAGGCAATTAATTCGGTTGCTGTGTTTACTGTTTATTCGTCTTACTATGCTGAGGAAAGACATCCTCTCCTCAGAGTGCCACAGTGAGGACCTCTTGTCTCCACACTGGGACCTTCTTACGCCTCCCCTAGACCAGACACATCAACACTTCCAATCCCTGCAAGTTTTTCCATACATACAGGCAAAACACACAGCATAATAACAATTTTTAGATCTGAAAGATGACAATTTTTAAAGTAAATATTTATATAACATACGACTTTAGTTAGCTCTCTAACAATTACAAGAGTGAGCTAATGAAACTATAAGGTTGATGTTACTCTAATGAGCTAAATTACAAGTATGCAAATATGCAAACCTTCTTTAGCATGAACTTCAATTAACTCTATGCTCCCAAGTCACAAATTCTTTACATTTCATGCTTCCTTATTGTTGGAAATTGCTTCCATATTTTATTTAAAGCATTATTTTATCCTAAGGACTTTATGTGGTTGCTGTTTTGTTTTTCAAGACAGGGTTTCTCTGTGTAGCCCCAGCTGTCCTAGGCTTTGCAGACCAGGCTGGCCTCAAATTCAGAGATCCGCCTGCCTCTGCCTCTGCCTCCCAAATGCTGGGATTAAAGGTGTGCACCACCACACCAGGCTTATCCTAAGATTTAATAAACACCTCTTTAATTAACCAAAGTGTTATTATAAACATTTCTGCCAGGATATTCCTGATCTTCTTTGTAACAAAAACACTTACCCTCTTTAGCAAGGGTTTCGCTACTTAAAGACAGAGTTGTTCTCACAGTCTTTGCAGTCACATAACCTTAAGTTTAAGAAGAATGCTTTGCTTGGTTGAGACAGGGCCTCAGGTACTCCAGGATGTCCTCAATTTACTATGTAGCCAAGGATGGTCTTGAACTCCTAATGCTCTTGCCTACACCACCTAAGTGCTGAGGTTGCGTGAACAAGCTATGACACTTATCAGATATCCTGCATCTCAGATATTTATATTATGATTTATGACAGTAGCAAAATTACAGTTAATGAAGTAGCAACAAAAATAATTTTATGGTTGGGAGTCACCACAGCATGAGGAACTGTATCAAATGGTCGCAGCATTAGGAAGGTTGAGAACTACTGCTTAGAGCTTAAGATAGTTAAAGATCCCATTATGACTGAAGATGCTCCTACTAGATAAAAGTTTCCACCTAGAGATAAAAGTTTTACCCTCTAGAGGAAATAGGCAATATTTATATTTATAGTAATAATTAATTATTACAGATACTAAAACTGCCTACACAAATATTATCTTCATTGGCATAAATTAAAATTAATTTTGCACCAGAAACAGGGTATACACCATTAATTCCAGGACTTAGAAGGCAGAGGCGGACAGATCTCTGAGTTCCCGCCAGTCTGGCCAGCCAAAGCTATATAGTGAGACCCTGTCTCATGATAAATAAACAAACAAATGGACAACAATGGTAACACAATTTAGTTTTACTTTTCTTCCACTTTAAAAGAGCTTGGCTAATGCTGGGTTTGCTGTCAGTCTCTCCATTGCTTCCTAATTTTACATTTATTTACTTAGTATGTGCATGTGCACACACATGCCTGTAAGCCATGACACATGTGTGAAGGTCAGAGGACAATTCGCAGGAGTCAGTTCTCTCCTTGAACCAAGGGATCAAATCCAGGTCATCAGGCCTGGCAGCAAGGGGCCCCACCTTCTAAACCACCTCACGGGGCCTCTCCATTACTTTCTTAAAGATGGAAAGCGTGTGCTTATTGAAGGGATTCCCAGTGGTTCTTGTAAACCACAGATGATGGTAAATGACATTCCAAGCGGAAACATTCCTACCTCATAGAACACCTAACCCTGCCAACAATCTCCACAGCACCAAGGAGAGGCTAAAGGCATCGTGCTTGGGTAGACGGAAGCTCCACCACAGGCTTTGACAGCATTTTTCTCTACCTGTCTGGGAGGTCATCTGAAGCTGAGAAGAGCACTCCCCGGAGGGAAAAAAAAATGAGTGCCCTGGAGGATCCACAAAAAGTTAAACCAAGTTAGCGCGTAACCCAGAACACTCTGTAGGTGCCTACCAGAACTGGAAGCACACATTTTCACACTGGAACTCCTAGGTCAAGGTTCACTGAGGCACTACCTGCAAAAGTGGAAATGATCTGAGCATTTATCAAGTGGTTAAAGAAGAAAAGGCAGTGTATTCATCCAAGAGAGTATTAGCCATGCTATTAACTCATTCTGGGGTAATCGTCCACACTAAGAGTCAGCCACAGGTCCTGTGGAAATATAGGCAAACCCTGAAAACACCATGCTGGCTGAAAGAAGCCAGGCATGAGATGAAATGTTCAGAAGAAACAAAACAACAGATGGAGAACAGATCAGCAGTTGCCAGGAGCCAGGGAGCGTCATAAGGAGCGTGCTCGTGTCTACCAGGCTTCTGTGGGGGCAGGGAAACTTCCTGGAATTGGAATAGGTGAAGACAGAAGGACCTTAGGAAAACTCCACTGTGCTGTTCACATAGGAAGGAGGGCTGCATGGTGCATGTTACCTGATTCCTAAGGGCTTCATTGGAAAATAAAGGAGGGAAAACCTAAAAGGGGAAACAGTTCAGCCAACTAGAGGCAGTGCTAACGCTGGGTGAAGTTGAGGGTCTGTAAGTGGATGTTCCGGGATACTTGATGATCACAGCTCTTCTGAAAGTGTAAGATATAACGTATAAAGTCAGTTTCTTAAGCATTAAAAAAGCGGGAAAATCATGAAACCAGTGCTTCCAAATGACTTACTACAACTGTGTTCTATTTCAATCTGGTGTTTAATTGATGTCAGAAAATTAAAGAATCACTTTTAGAAAAACCATTAATGACACAATTTGCAAAAGAAAATGGTCATTTAAAAGCCTAACACAAACTTCTGCATCATATTAAAATGTAGAATAATGCTCTTTTTCTAAATGAAGCATGGTTAGTACAGCCTGGTTAGAGTAGTATTTTGTATGAAAATCTCAATACATCACAAGTATTGTGTGTGGTAAGTGTATATTAACCCACAAAGATACCCGGAAACTGAGGGCTACCAGAAATGATAAAGCCAAAGATTCTGACGTGAGAGGGCTGTGTGGATGCTTTGGGTGAGTCCTAAATGTGATCACAGGCATCCACGTGAGAGGGGCAGGACGGGACCCAACTGCAGAGGAACGAGATGTGATCACGGGCATCCACGCGAGAGGGGCACGAGACCCAACTGCAGAGGGAGAAATGTGATCACGGGCATGCGCGTGAGAGGGGCAGGACGGGACCCAACTGCAGAGGGAGAAATGTGATCACGGGCATGCGCGTGAGAGGAGCACGAGACCCATCTGCAGAGGAAGGAGCAAT